TAGAGGTTTACTTTTTAAAATAATACGTTAAAGTGCGCACGAAGATGCACCTTTGCATGTACCTTGTAACACGGCTGACGACTACGAGATTATAAACCCCGTGCCGAGTTATTGACGGAGATTTCTGAACCTGTCGGCGTAAGTTGTTAAACTGGAAAAGCCCGTCGATCCTCCGTGCAGGCACGAAGCGTGTTAAATCCCACTCGAGTCGTTTTAGCAACTGTATGACTTGATGATGTATCTTGCGTAATAAATCGTATGATCGTTCCATACAATAAAAATGTAACAATAGTCGGGAAAAATTAACTATCTCCTTTTTTTATAGAATGAGAGATTGATGAAAATTAGATTACGTGAAGCAATTTTCTCTCGACTCGAGGTAACAAGTTTTCAAAGGGAACTTTGTCATTCTTGTTTGGGATTCCCGAGAAAACAATTTAATAATTTCGGAGTCCCCACGTGAGAAGTAGAGAGGGAAAAAAGGGAAAATGAGTTTATCAAGATGAAACAGACACACGAGATGGATAAGTTCCTTTCTGGAATACTATCAAGCTTTCATCATCTGTCCTCGATAAGAAGTCGCGTATCATTAGAAGCGATCTAGTCTCCTGCATAATTAGTACGTCGCCAAGTGCAACGGCGGATAGAATTTTTGCCAGTAGCAAACCTTTCAACTTAACGAACGAAGTAATTTTCGTTCGGAGTCCCGGCGGCGCCGATAAAAAGCATGGAGCTTTCGAGGAGGAGTAACGAAGGAAAAACGAGCGTTTTCCCGGCGGAAACACTCCGCGCTTTTCCCACGTCCGAATCGTTCGACGAGTCGCGAAGAAGACCGCGACGGGTAAGTGGTGTGCCGGCCAATCCGAAAATACTGTTGCGGCGTCCGCTCATTAAAATGTAACGCGATTGATCGATCGATAATGCACCGCTACGACGTCTCTCTGCAAAGAGTTACGTAACTCTGACAAAAACGATGCGTGTCAATTATTAGTCGACGTAGAGTACGAATAAACTGCGGGGGACCGGAATAACTCGCTCTACGACTGGAAAGTGCCGCTGAAGGACGAGTATAACGGTTCGGAATACAGTATTGATCGGTAATTTTCGCGCGAGCGCTTAAAGAAAATTGACAGCTTTTTCGACAGAAATGACTCTGGTAAGACTTCCAAGTTTTCGCGAACGTCAAGCAATCGTAAAAAGGTAAAATACGGACGAGATAAAAGTGTCGTTTCAAGTATATAACATGACAATGTCTATTCTCGGACTTTTGTTCTCGAATCGAACAATGATAGCTACTGACCGGAATATGTATCGCGATAGATATCACGATAAAAAGACACACGTCAGGTCTGTTTTTAAACGGTTGCAACTCAACAATGTGACGGCTCTTTCTTTATTATTTGAAACTTTCTATTTAAAAAGTTAAAACGTTCAAAGGACACAATATCTTTTAGTATGTAGAGTCGATATGAAACTTCCGGAAGTTTGCACGTGACTCGCATGTTGAATGGTACGAGTGGCTTTAAAATATTAATAGCTCGACGACTTAAAACAATATGTGCCTACTACCAATCATACTTTCAATTACTTTCACATAGAGGCGCTTTCCTTTTCATAGCGGAAACAATGTCGAACTTGCCTTATGGCCGTACCATTGTACTTTACTGTCACTTGTATTAAAATAGCGCAACGGCAATGGAATGAAATCCTATCGCGTGATTCAAAATTTAAGTTCACTTTCTGCGTAACCTCGCACGCTTTCACAAATGTCATTTTTTCCTTAGAGGGAATTCGACTCGATGCGTTATTTCCTTTCGTGATGTTTTCATAATAAATTACAAACGATATGAGATTAAAACAAGATAGTAAATTATGTTCCGACCACGTAGAAGTACGAATGTAATCACAAAGTGTAAGAAAGTGCAAGAGGAAAAAAAAGAGAGAGAGAACTCTACCTGCAGCAAACTTTCATAACGACGATCTTTAATAACTCCGGCAATATCAAAAGACAACGTGATCTCTTTTAAGCACGAGCTTCGTGATGTGCACTTAATTTCGTGAAAGATCTCATTTATCAACGTTACGTACAAGGATTCGCCCTTATTTATCAAGGTGACGTCGAAGTCGAGCCTCTTCTGCCGAAGAAAAGCCATCTTTTTCAAGAAACACGACGCCATTCGACGCGACGCTCGAACCACATCTCTCCGCGTGGAAGAGGTGGACGAGTGCGCGTTAATGAGGACATCCGAGTGGCACGAAATGGTGTGGCGCGTGTAATCACAATTCACGGCCTGTGTTCGCTTTCGCGGAGTCGCAATCAGAATAGTTTCGAGTCCGCGATGAAAGTCGAAATTCAGCTGCGCTTCGACGAGCGACCCAAAAATTAAAATTAATTGCGACGCGTATAAATAAATATGCATGACCGCAGTATTATGAGGGAAACTCGAATCGTTTGTCGATTTATTACCCTTTGAAGATCAAATATAATTATACCGTTTACTTTTAATTTCCACGAATGAAATAAAATATAATCAATACGAGACTGCATAATTATATAAGCGCGAATATGCAGTGGAATATCGTTCAAGACGGGCGTGAAATAAAACATAAAGATTTAAATGTCGAGTGAATTTATCGGATTTCCCCTGCAGTGCGAGGTGACATTGAGCAACCGAAGAATTATCATAACGCGATGAAACTGGCGCCACGAGTTTTCTACAATCGTGGCAGGTGCCATCTCTTCGTCATGCCCTAGTTAACTCCACTCCAACTCGGGCCCCTCTCCACGCGTGTGTGTACACACCGTGCGCGCCGAATAACGAATGAATCATGCCGCGGTGTGTACGCGAAGCGGCTGCGGTTCACTTTCTCCCCTCGGTTTCGTCCTCAATTACACGGGGGCCCACTGCGGAGCCTCCGTGTAATTACACGGGTGAGATGGCTCGACGAACCGGTCGAGTGAATCGCGAGTAACAATTTTCTTTTTCGGGCCCGCACCGGACCCCTTTCACTCGGCCCGCTGGCGCGAGACCCGGTTTCCTTCCAGACCGAGAAACGGTAACGTTATTGTTACGCGCTATTGTCAAACGCACCTCTGCGTATTTACGCAACGAAACGTGAAACACGGTCGGGAAATTACATAGGGAAACCAAAAAAAAAAAATAGAAAAGAAGAGATGCGCGTGTGAGAAGTGTTGTTCGAATGACGAGTTGCTCATATGTAAAGAATTTCTTCGAGTAATTAAAGAGTTAATATACCGCGGTTGCTTAAATTTATCAGTGACTCCGATTACGTGTAATTTATTTTAAGAGGATCTACAGGGGACATTTAATAATACGCATAATCCTCTTCCGATGTGGGAATTTAATCAAATTCGTTTTTATCATATAATCCCCGACATGTGAAATAATTCATATGACGAGTTTGTAACTCAAAGCTATCATTTCACGAAATAGAATAAAATTCGCGAGGAACGAACGTTAAAAGACGCACGAAGGCGCGCACACCTCGATGCAACCTGACGTCTCGCAAGCCAACGAACGTAAATCGCGAGACACAACCGAATGGAGGAGACACCTGTAGGCGACACGCGAGTGACACGAGCACAATGGGCACACTTAGGCCAATTATGGCGCAATCGTAGTCACGTTACTTCTGGGAAGTCGCGACGATGCGACGAGACCTCCCAATACAAAGCGCATAAATTTATTTCCGGGACCTCGGCTCCCACAACAAGCTGCCAAATGCGTCTATACAAATCATTACGTACACTTTCACACACACACACACACACACTCGTCCGCGAAAGTTTCTCGCCAACAATCCGCGAACTATGCAGCGCGTGTGTACCGCGACAAACATGGTTGGTTCCGCACGCAACCCTGCACGGATATTCCCGTTAACCGAAGGGGAAGAGGCAGCAATTTTCACAAGTGAATTCGCCCCCGCTTATTTATCCGATCTGTCTAGACGCATACGATATTCAGCCTGCTGTCCAAGCTCCTCATGTAAAAACGAACCCTCTGATTCACGTTCGTTCGTCTCTTCACAGATGCGCGTTCTCCCTCGTCTCGCGGGCACTCGGAACAAGAATATCCCGACGAAGACGCGTACAAGACGTGTTCGACGGCGGTGCTCCGCTACAAAATACAGATATGCTTTCCGCGCGATTGCAGATAAGAGAACGACCCCGTGTGAAACGAGGAGAAGAAGAAGAAGTGGAGGACGCGCGCGGAGAGGAGGAAGAGGAAACGCGGCGAGGGACGAGGGAGCGGGGAAGAGGATGACGAGCAGGAACATCCCGTGAGAGGCGAGAGAGGAGAGAAACGGCGGCGTAGGGAGCCGCGGGGAGGGGGAGGCGTAGCGGGAAATGACTGGCAACGGGTGGTGCGGCGTTGCGGTATATCGAATAGTAAAAGTCGGAGAACAATGGATAAACGGAATGGTACAGAGCCGAGACCTTTCAGGCGATCGGGTAACCGGCAAAAATCGCGCAACACAATGGGTAGGAACGCCCTCCGTGCGGGGGTCCTCTCCCTCCCCCACCCTCTCTCATTCTCTCACTCTCTCTTTCTCTCTCTAACCCTCCCTGCCGCCCGCCCGCTCGTAACCGCGGCGAGTCGTTCTCCCGGGCGTTCGTTTTCCACGGAACGTAAACCCGGGACCGACCATCCACCCACTCACCCCTGGACACACCCATCCGACCGTGCCGAGTCGAGAGAGATTAACACTCGCGGAAGCGCGATTAACCTGACGCGTAATTATATTCTCATTCGGGCAGAGCTGCTCGGGATACGCGGGGGGGCCTTCTGTGAGGCCTTTTACGCATTATTGGCAATTCTTCTGTCATTCTTAATAAAAAATATCGGTCACGGTGAAATATCACCGTCGCTTGTTTGGATCCAATAACTTTGTATAAAAAAAGTTTTATGTGCTATAACTTTTTTAATAAAATCGTCGAACGTCAATTTAAAGGTTTTTTATCGGAAACTTTTTAAGCTTTATACGTATTCGTTATCTCTGACTGAAAAAAGGGATTTTTATGCGTTAATCAACGTTATAAGTGACCTAATTCAAACGTTAAACGAGAAACGGAAGAACTAGCGTCGATTTTTTGACATCTATCTATGCAGGTGTCTAAACGGGACACACGGCGCCACCTATTACGAAGGAACCGGACTGTAAGAAAACGGCGTTGAATGCTCGCGGATAAAATAGTCCGTCTTTTTACCGACAACCGTACGCGATCTCGACGGAAATAAAAAAAAAAGGATTGCAAATATAAATAGAAAGCACCATTCAATATTGATTTCTCGTGTGCTATGCAACTTTTCCTATATGTTTCAGTAATTATAGTTTAGCTATCTCAGTTATGTTAGCCAAAATCTGCGAATCTTCAATAAATTGTAAATGAAAAGGATTTCTTTCGCGAAGTTTTATTTTCAATTCGCGATAATTCAGGCATTATCTGCTTCCGATATAAACGCTTATAAGTAGATAATCGCCAGCGCCGACAAGTGAATAATTCGTACACTTGGGCATGTAATTAGAAGGCAAGCAAATAAATTGGAGAGAAGAGGGAGAGATACATGCGTATCTCCAATCAATCTCTCGATAAACAAAGTTCTTTCACTCACCTTGTAAGTTGTCCAACATATACGTCAGCAGCTTGTTCGTTCCTGCAGGCTCCCCGTACAATGCCATCACCTCTTTGCTGAGTGGATTTCCTTGTAGTCCAAGCACTTGTAACTGGAACAACTTTCCTAGTTCGTACGGTAACACGCGAAGGTAATTTTGGTTCAATAACAACTCCCTGAAACAATAAAGAGTTCTGTGTGAGAATTAGGAATCGGACGGATGAGCAGAATACACTATAATAATATATAAAATTGTTCTTCTGTTTAATCCCTCTTACTACATACCTGAGGTAGATGAGATCCCCCAGTTCGGCAGGCAGACTGCGCAGCTTGTTGCTGCTGAGATCTAAAGCACGCAAGTTGACAAGACGACCAATCTCAGGTGGTATCCTTTGTAGGCTGTTATCGTTTAGATAGAGCGCCGTCAGGTGGGTCAACTGCCATAGGTTAGGGCTTAGGTTTCTTATACTGCCTGTTATCTCCAACTCCGGCCAATAAGATTTTTTCCCCGAGTTCGCATCCTCCGTGGACATAAACGAATGCGTACGACGTGGGTTGGAGTTTTCATACTTGTCCTTGTGATTGCGGGACATCTTAGATCCTAGGGAAGAAAAGGTGTATCCCCTGTTAAAGCAACAGTTATTTGCGTGGATTTTTAACGCTCGAATGTCACGCGCCGACTACTTATGGTCGCGTCACAAGAGCATCAGCGCGTACGCTGACACTCGCGACAATAACAAGTCAGCTGTCAAAGTAGCAGTCAACTTTGTGCCGCGGTAATCGACAGCCAACAAAGCGATCGTAAAACAGTAGAGCTACAGCGGCAGGTGCCGATTGTCTCATGTTGGGAGTGCGAGAGTGACTCGGAGAGTCGCGGCTGCGTAAAGATATCGCGACTCGGGCAATGTCATCTGCACACACAGCCGTACCAGTGACATTAGGTACGAGCCCATAACCTATGAGGGACAGACGGAGTTTCCGACGCTCGCATGGTCGTATGTGACGGAAGCTCGCCGCATTCGGCGCGGGACGCGACGTCCAGCCGGCCGTGATAGGTTATGTCGACAGTGGCGGCGAATTTCGCCGCGCGACGGAATAATCTTTTGAGCGCCAATCACTCATACTGCCCGAAAAAGTTCGTAACGCTGTCGCGACGACAGGTCGACGACGCGTTCGCCTAATTTCCCGGCGACGGACGTGGCCGTCGGCCGCCGTGTTTGTTAGCGCGCGCTCGGCGCGGCATTACGCACCTTCATCTACCTCTTCAGCACAGACGGGACGCGCGAGGAGTTGATACCGAGTGAAAATTTCCGCGTAAACAAAACTACCTTGACAATCACGAATCCTCCATTTATCAACTGCAACGACCGTGCGCCCACGGAGCCGCCCGATTGGTCCGCGCCGTCGCCGAACCTTCCCGAAGCAGCCGACGTCGTTGAACGGTCGCAACCAACAAACATGGTTCACACGATGCTTTCTTATTCGCGACCGGCGCACATCCCTAGATCTAGGAACTAGATCTCAAATGTTTACTTTATCATTAAGGTCTGTATTTATCACTCTCTTTTATCGATAAAAGTGCCTTAAATGCGGCTCCTCTGACAATCTTATGTCATAAATTATACGCATTATATACTGAGCCACTTTTAGAGATACTTTTATCAATAAAAGAGAGTTCAGAATGCTAGCTTAAGAAAAAATTCTAATTAGTCTCTAGATGATACGATATGTTTACTATTCGCTTTATTAATTTAAAAATGTGGAAAATCAATATTATCTATTATATGGCTATTATAGCAACACCGGACTTTTACAGATTAGAACGCAGACTATGGTACTGCATGCGCATGCGTGTTGTTCAGAGTGATTATTAACCAATTAACAAACCGTTTTTCATATTAATACATACATTTTGCGGCACTCTGTATATAATTCCTATGTCATGATTCTGTTAGGATAGAACAGGGTAGCTAATATATAAGCTTGATCCACTAAATCTAGTTAGTAACAGAGGAATGAGTGTACGAAATGGAAGTTAAGCCAGTGTCACACGATGCTTGTTTTCGTGCTGGATTGCTTGTTGGATGGAAATACTGCGTTCTGATTGGTGCGTCTCTAAAAATGAATGATGATATACCAATCAGAAGGCAGTATTTCCATCTAGGAAGCAATCCAACATGAAAACAAGCATCGTGTGCCGCTGGCTTTACTGGCTCGAACGATCGCTAATTTATGTGAGATGTGGCTTGCACGTGCCTCGTCGTTATTACAAATCTTATTTGTTTTGTATTAACAATCTTATATGTCATAAATTATACGCATTATATACATCCATAAAAATACTTTGAAAACTTGTTTGTACTAACCAGTAAAGATCTTCACGGAATATGTCTGAAAACATGTGTGATGAAATTTTGTTCAAAGGTTAGTAATGTAATAAACAGTGGTATTATGAGTATTTATTACATTATTATATGTTTTATTTTTTCCTTTGTATTCTCATACAGCAATAATTACGTGCCACAGATTATTATAAAGCTGAAAACACAGATGATGAAGAAAATAACAATGACTTATTGGCTCAATTGTATGCTGAAATTTATTATCCTTCAAACCATGAGATTGAGTTAGGAGCCAATATTTTATCAAACGCTGTACCACTATCTAATTGCATTGTCACTGAGTTAAATAAGCAAGAAAATATACAGCATAGGTTCAACAAAAAAGGGATTTCAGAACTTGAAGTCACTAGAGGTAATTATAAAAAGGTTATGTCATAGGATGGAATGTCAAGGAGATGCTCTGTAGCTGTTAACAAATTTGGTCACATTTGTGCCGATAGTATAAAGATGATCTTCCAAATGTTATCACATAAATATTGACAGGATTGTGCAATTCTTTTTGTATTTCTTGTATATATATATTTTATAACATGAACATGATGTGAATGTGATGAATATATGCTATTCTGTTTTATCATATCTAACAAAAAATTTAAGATATTTAACAGTTTTTTTGTAAATTCCATATTTTCTTAGACCTCTAGATTTAATTGAAAAGCTGTAAAAATGGTCTTTGAAATGTTCCTGATTGGAACATTGACACATTCTTATATATAAATTGTAGGATTTCTGTATCAGATACTAACTGATAGCTAGAGATGTTAATTTTGAAGTTTTTAATTGTTTTTTCATATTAAGCATTGTTTCAATTCATTTTTGCATGTACCTTTACTGTATAAAAGCTTTTATAATTCTGTGCAATCAATAAGATATAAACTTTACAGAAAAAATCAGTATTTTGCCAATAAAGTTTTCAAGCATGGCATTTCCTTAAAAAGCACTGCAAAATATTTTGTTACCAAATAAAAGCTACTGTAGAAGTTTTAATATATATTGATACATAGTAAATGTAAAATTCAGATCTTCAGATATTAACAGATATTAACAGGTTTATTGCCATGTAGAATTCACATGTGAGTCTCATCAAATTTGAATTTTCTGTTTTTATGTTAATAATATTGTATTGTTTCTATTTTATATCTTTATAAATTATAAATAGTAAAACCATTCCTAATCAAGTAGATAAAATGATTATCTATAAATAAGCGACAGGGCCCTTGAGAAATTCACATATCAACTAGATATGGATGATATGGCAGTCAATGTATCAATTGGTATTAAGTAATATATGAAGTGTCCTATTTTACAGGACAAGAGGAACCAGTTGCTAAAGTGTCTACTCAGACTAACAAAAACAATTTAGCTAATCAAGAAATAGATAATACTGCAGGTTTGTTAAGTATTAGTAATTGTATAATATATAATTATAGGGATACTAGTAAAAGGATTTTAAATAACTCTTCATCAACAGAAAAAAAGAAGAGTAAGAAGAATTCTTCCAAAAAGCACAATTCTCCCAAACTGCTAAAGAATAAGCACCGGGAGAAGTCACAGAAAGAAAATATTGTTTCGAGCGACGAATCAGATATGGACAGCAAATACAATGTTTTACAGAAGAATATGAAGCAAGAGAAGCTTATGTCAAGGAAAAGGCAAAATGAAACTTCGGAGGATTCTGACTCTGAGTCTGTCTTGGAAGTGCCACTACCACCGAAACCAAAACCACTTCTCATCAATTTGCGAGACTCTGACGATGAAGACGCTGGAAGTTCGATAGACGAGGATGACTTGCTCGAGGGAAGATTGCACGATAAAAATGCGTTCAAGAATAGCTCAGGAGTCTTCAATTTTAGAGCCTCTTCATCTAGCTCTTCATCTAGTCCCGAAGTGGAAATTATAGAAGTGATGCCCAATCGTCAAGATACAATCGCCATAAGTAACACTGCCGATGAGTCTTCGCAAAACAATAATATATCGGTTACGACGAACGACAAGAGCACACGCGCGCATGAATTTAACGATGACATTGTTCTGAACTGTACCATTATTCAAAAAGGTGCCAGAAGTATCGACGAAATCAAGCAGTTGTCCAAGAGTGTGGAGCAAAATAAGATAGGCACGTCGCCCGAAGATACAAGCAAATATTCGAAAAAGAGATCATCACAGAATACGCCCAGAGACGACAGAGCGGACGATACCTGCACATTTCAAGAACCATGGACGTCACCGGATAGAGGAGAAAAATCCGAGAAGCAGACGAAAAAGACGCGGCAGAACACTAATATCAATGAAACCGATAAAAATATTAGAGATAATATCAAATATAATCTAAAAAATAAGGTGCAAAGCGTGGAAGATACATCGTTAGAGATGTCATATGGCATCAATAATGATCCAGTGGTGAGTCGAAAGAGACACAGTGAAGGCAACAACGGCGAAGGCGGAGAAGATGGAGTAGCGGAGAACAACAGCCCCGTGCAAAAGCGACAGTGCACCGTTCAGCAGAGTGATCAACTGAATGTTGCATCGACATCACAGAGCAGCGGGAAGAGAATAAGAAATCCTATAATTTCAGATTTTCATAAGCTTCCTAAACTAGGAAGCTATTGGACCAAGTTTTTCGTACCGCTGCCGGAGGTAGTGAAGAACTTCTACAATGACTCGCGTGGCCAGAACTTCTACAATGACTCGCGTGGCCAGAACTTCTACAATGACCCGCGTGGCCAGAACTTCTCCAATGACTCGCTTGGCCAGAACTTTGATATCCACGAACTCCAAAGCGGTATGTCGAAGGATCCGAAGTTGTGGGCGATCCTGGACGAGGACTTGATGCCCTGTCCTGCGATCAAGCGGGGCAGATATTGGAGTAGATGCTCTTCTTGTCAACGAGACGGTCACCAACGCAAAGATTGTCCGGAACAGCGTGCTAAAGTAGAATGTTGTCACATGTGTGGCGTACGAGGCCACGTCACATGGCGTTGCCCGCAACGGCAATGCCTGACCTGTGGTAAGAAGCAGGACACCTACCGCAAAACATGCGAATATTGCCGCACTTTGTACTGCACAATGTGCTGCTCGGTGGGACACAAGAAGGAGTACTGTCCCGATCTTTGGCGACGATATCATCAGGTAACGAGAGAGGTCAGTCGTTTGCCGCGGAATCCAGGTAACGTAATGAAACCGGCGAGCCAGTTGCACTGCTGCAACTGCTCCAAGCGCGGCCACGAGTTTTCCACGTGCAATGAGTATCGATGGTCCGCGCATTTTCGCACTTCGCCATTCGTGACGAATTACACGGAGGGGCCCTGTTACGAGCTGGAAATCGGCCCAGAGAGAACCCCCGTGATCGACAAGACCGTGGAAATTTTACCGTACAGATTGAAAAACAAAGGAACATTGAACCAGCAGATACAAGAGGACATGTCAGTAGCAGAAGTGCAAGCGGAGCCATTTCCAGACGTAAATGCCCCATCGTCATCGACTAGTGCGCAAACCAACGAGAAAGTGTATACGCAGGAGTACCCAGAGGAACAAGTAATGATGATATCGGAAGCCACTGTGTTAAACTTTGCTAATGTTATCTATTGCTGTGGAAACTATCGCAATAAGAAAGATTCCGACGCGCGAGTGTTGGTGAGTAATCTTTCTCAACATAAGACGTTGAGTTCGGCCGGAAAGAACTTCGTGCAAAGTAAATTCTCGAACGGCACCGTCATCCCGGCCTTCCTCAGGAAGTTGCGGAAGGCAGCACATTTTGAGATGACGATAGGTCTGTTAGCCAGTAAGTCTGAAGTAATGGTGCAGCTGATGGCATCGAAAGAGTGTGTCTGCTTGTTATTCTATCTGTTACTTCACTGGTTGGACCTACCGATTAACGAGAAGCAGCATGGGATAGACGTGAATTTACCCATGCAATCTGACCTAATGTGGCACTTTCTCACAAATCTAGACTTGCAGCGCAAAGAGATAAAAGATCCGTTCAGGCTCATGAATGTAGTGAACATTTTCAAGCACAAGATGCTTAATATGCCCAAAAACAAGGAATATTTTCATAACCAAATGTGTATGTGGGATGCGCAAACAAAACTTCTCACGTACATCAACACCCATCCGGAGCCGAGTTCTCACGTTCGCAAGATCTTGTCATACATAGAGATGTTAAAGTGCTCGGAAAATAGCAACCATCAACTCGATGCCGCCACTTATCTTGATATTCTTTTAAGTTACAATAATATATACACACCTCACACACCGCCGAAGTTACGAGTTACATTACAACGCATAATGGAACAAATTCAAAACTTGGAAAAAACATCAGATTTCACAGAAGATCAATTTCCCTCAGATGCTGACGCAAACTCGGTATCATTTGCGACGTCGTCTTTTTACATGTCGCAGGAAATCGACACGATTGCAAATCCCTCCACGACTACTAACGTTCAGGATATGCTTCACGATACGTCATGTGTCATTCAGATGAACAATTCTGATGATATTTATCAGCCAGGAACTAGTAATACAGTGAAAAATCGTATGCAATATCCTCAGAATATTTCATCGTTTCATAATGAGCCGGTATCAATTCAATCGATAAATTTGGAAAGAGAAGATGATAAAGATAATGGAGTAAACATGAACACTAACGTACCGGCGACCAAGACAAGTATAAATACAACAGATACGAATAATCAAAGTAACAACCAAAAACCTCCGACGCGGAAGATGCGGAATAAAGCATCGACTGTAGAACAGAGACTGTTAAAGGAGAATTTGTTATGCAAGCAAGCAAGGAAACTTGCACGTCAGGCCTATGCGTTTGAAATACCTTATATGGTGAAAGCAGCGGAAGATCTACAGAGAAAAATAAAAAATAAGACACTTAATAAGAAACACCTTCAAACGATGAGAAAAATGATAAGTATGGAGAGCAAGCATCGGAAGCAAATTAAAAATTGTTACAGTCACTTGAATTGACATTTCTTTTGCGCATTTGTTTATTGAAATTGTGTAATATTTTATAATTTATCTGTACTCTTATAAGTTGATATGTGTACGAAAACATTCTTTCGTTAGAGATGTTTTTAAATAACTACGTTGTACTGGGAAAATTACCTTTGATACTTTCATTGATAAAATTATTATTATAAATCTGTCAAAGTATAACCAGTATAATTCTGTAAGATCGTCACAAATACAACATATTCACCAAATTCATCACACTCATCACACGGAAGTTCCTTTGCGACAATTTATTGTCTATGCGCGTTCATTCGACAACAGCGAAATTGTGAAATACTTTGTAATAATTTTATGTATGTATGCGTAATCCTTGAAAGACCATTGAAGATGTCGTTAAATAAATATGTGTTGAGGGAGTGATAAATTATTATTTTTTTTAATTTTCAATAATTCTTAAGAAACAGTTATATGGAATTGTCAGAAATATAATTTCATCAAATTTATCACTTTTATTTTGTAACAAGGATATTTTACGAAAAAAGAAATATATTATTACAATGAAGTTAAAGTTTGAAACATCTGATGGTAATAAGTAAATTATAATATCGATATCAAAACTTTTAAAATCAAATGAATTATTTTTTATATCAATGAACAATTTAATTTTGAATATTGTCTATTTTCTGATTATATAAGTTGTAAATATTGCTTTTTATACCGCTTTATATATCTGAATAAAATATTAAATAATGATTTTCTTAAATATTACAAATGAAGAATTTATTTTCTTTAAAAACTTCAATATTATATATATACTTATTACCATTACTTCATGTGTGATCTTATATATACATGTACATCAGCAAAATCTCTGAAATATAGTAATTTTAATGTCAAAAGTATTACGCACCTACATTCTAGAAACCTTATTTTACACATAAAATACTAGACGTAATACAAAGTAAAACATACTACACATGAATGTTGTTGACAATGTTACATTTGCTTGGAAATATATTCTCGGATTATTTTTAGGTACATCAATATCTCTCGTTAATGTTCTTGATTATAGAATTACTTCACTCTTGTACAAGTAGAATCTTTAATTGTACAATACTGTCCTAGTAATGTCATACAATCAAAACACAATCGACACACATCAATTTTAATATAGTCAAGCAAATTTTATCAGACAAAAGCACAAGTGACCAATTATGAATCTGCCTGTTATTTCTTCATTGGTGGTGGTCCTACCATGGGAGGTGGTGGTCCATTCATTGGAGGTCTCATATGTCCCATAGGTCCTATAGGACCCATCATAGGACCCATTGGCCCCATCGGTCCCATCATAGGAGGCCTCATGCCCATCATTGGAGGTGGCATCGGTCCATGTGGTCCCATCATCATAGGACCTCCAGGACCCATCGGACCGGCTGGATGCATTCCTGGTGGTGGCATCATTCCCGGAGGACCCTGAGGTGGCACACCAGATCGCGATCCCAGGCTGGAGCCGAGATTCGGCGGCGGTGGTATCGCTGCACCCTTGTTCGCCGCGAAAGGGTTGGAGGCAATCTTACCGGCTTTGAAAGCGGCGGTTGTTGCATCGATAAGATGTTGAGCCTGCTCTTCCATCCATTTCTGGTAAAAATACTTAACGTTGTCCTTGTGTTTACGACCCTGACAATGTGTCTTTCGTACGCTTGGTGAGTCGTGAGTTAAGTATGTGTCGCAGTAATCACAATAGTATTTCGGCATCGTGTCAACGATACGTTTCTACACAGATTCTTGGTAGAACGGATTATTTAAATTCGTCTTCCTATGTGTTTACTATCATAGCGATTATCAACGAATAATTGAAACTTGTAGGTTATATACAATATATGCTGACAACTCGTGGTAAACTCAAGCGCACTCTGGACTAAAGTCGATGATGCGCATGATCGTCAATTCACCAAACATTCTAGTATAAAAATAACTATGCTACTGAACCAAATTTTAGTAAGTTTTCATTACTCTAATAGCGAATTCGATTGGATTGCTACTAGGCTGCGTTCCAAAACTCAGGGGTAGAGTAGTGTTTAATTGACCAATCAGGATAAAAAGAACAAAGATTTCTTTGTCATAATTAGGTCTGTTTTTTTCCTAACACTTTCTGCACTAGTGCTGTGACCGGATGTCACTAACTGAGTAGAAAAGTCGATGTTTAACCATTCAGGCCCCGCCGAACTTTTAGAAGTGAACTTAAATATAAGATCCGACTATGAATACCGGCCTATATATCAGCTACATCGCAACATCAGTTGCGATACATGACCTAAGAAATGACGCGATCTACCGCGAACTAGCACGGTCACGTGACGTCTTTCAAATAGTTTTGCCCAGTGATCTTCAGTTACGGAACGACTAATGGCGGAGTGGTACGGATGCGTTGGAGTCGTTCTGTATTTCGCGCGATTTCAGCTCACCTAAGGAGAGCCTCGGCGTGAATTGTGTCGGTAGTGCTGAAAATAATTCCCATGAGGTTTATCGAGATGGAAATTTCGCGAAATAACCGCGAAAAGTGAACAACGCGTCTCGCATAACAGGTAGGTTAACTACATATTCGTACGCCGCGAAACCTGAAATATCGAAAATAAGTATTGTGTGCGTGTCGAAGCTAAATGTCTTTCAATATCCCTCGTAAGTTGATGTCTCAAATATCGAATGTAGTTTGTGCATATCTATATGCAAATCGGATCGAGAATCGCAATCGTCAGAATTCGTGACACGATCCCAAAATACAATTCCAAATAACAAAATGATGTCAAATAACGTCTTAATAACGTTTTAATGACATCTCTGACGTCAATAAGATGCCATTAAAACGTCATTTGATGGCATCTTGCTACTTGGGATGTTCAGTAACGAATCAGGTCAGGGTGACAGTGCGGGTTCGTGGAACCGTTCCGTGTTTCTCGCGATCTCGCTTCGAAAACGAGTCTTAGACTCGAACTATTGTCGTTAGTATTGAGTCTCGCATGTCCACAGTGTGACGAATATCGTTAAGTCGCCGCGAAAAACTGCCGTCTTGCAGAAATGTCTTTTGGGAGTGTCGAATGGAGCTTCGTGCGTTCGTTACTTTGTATCTGTTGGGAATTCAAATAGCTATCCTTTCAGCTCGCCGAAACTGGTATCTCGTTATCGTCAGGAGTGCTGAAAGTAAATTTCGCATATTTGTCGCCATTTGTCGTACATGTCCAGAATGAAATGATATGAAATATTTCTCGCAAAATAGATCTTAGAAAGCGTTGAGTAGAATAGGAGGAAATACATAATCGAATAAGTAATATAGTATTAATTGTACTACCTACTTAGTCTTGGGAAATTGATATCGCATATTAATACTAAATTAATAATCATAGCTTAATCGTTCAGACATTTCTGACGGATAGTTAGAAAACTAGTCGAAAAAATCAATATTGTTTATTCTCTGACCAATTGAATCTCAATATTAGTCGTGAAATTATATCCTCGGTCGATAATATCCATATTACACTCTATCGATGTATCAAGGATGCACCCGCTTGATCTTTTTGTTGTCAGAGTACGCAACGTGTCGCGCGTAATGGAATTTACGCGCGGTCGATCGAATATTGCGCTATAAATATAATGGGAGAATAATCGTAATTGTTCGTCGAGGATAAAATAGTTCATAAGATATTTTTAGATATTCACTTTCGTATCAACTTGTAGGATAGCTTGCACCTTTCATTTTTTCAATAAATTGATCGTACTTATTACCTCATTATCTCGGCAATGCATAACACTACGATGCGGCTTGCAAAAATTTTAGTTATTTTGCTTCTACATTCGAACTTTATGATAAATAATTCCTTTCGCAATTAAATTCTCGGTAATTATAAAAATTGATTACTGCACGAGCCAGCGAAATTGCTGGGACGACATTTGATAACTACATTATTACGTTATATTTGCTTTTATTGTAGTTATCTATACATATACATATAAAGGTTGGATAAAAGCAGACATTTTGTTGACGAAATAATTCCGTTTATTCTGAGCAAAGTACAAAACATTTTTTCAGCTTAAGACCTAGTAAGTTATGTTTGCAAAGTTACTCTTTTTCTCGCGGTGTCGCGAGTAACCGGTATAAATATGCCGTCAACAATCGCGAGACGTAACTCGAGAAATAATTTAGTTAAGGCAACTCTGTCGTCACTCTATACATATTATTAGTTTTCCTCGCGTGTATATAGTTTTATATATGCATATATATGTTACGATCAAAACCCGAAGTCAGCCATTTTATAAATTGGCTGCATTTTTCACACTTTGGTTAATTCTGTCGGCCACATCAGTAGTAGAAAAGTAGAATTGAAGGAGAACTATAGATACAAATATAAGGTTAGTGTTTGCAGTTGTAGCCAACAAGTTAAAGCTAATTCTAAAAATGGCCAGATTTGACTGCTCAAAGCTTAAGATGATTATAGAGCTTCATATGTTTCGAGCTTTGGCTAGTGTAATCGGCCAAATCTGGAATTGGCCAAATATTTCGCGAATTTGTTATACTCCGGGCTTTAATTGTAACATACAGTATAGATCTTTCTATGCGCTGCTCGATAACTATAAAGCCGATCAATCGTAAATATAATTACAAATTCATCTCATGTGATTTCACATTAACGGCACTTCTTCTTCCAAAAAGAAAAGGCGAAAGGGGATCTCCAAAACGTACACATACGTACACTAAATTCTAACCCGACTAGACTAGCAAGCGATCGAAATTTAAAAAACCGGCTGTGATTACACCGTCCGTTATATTATATACAAGTTTCGCCAAAGCTCTTGGCGGGAGTTAGGCTGCCATCGAAGTCGGCAAATAAATTAAAATCTTAACGATAAAACTTCTAAGATTAACTCGCCGCCGTTAGCGAGCGATTATCTGGGACTATTAATGCGTACTCGCGAGCCTCGTAGGGTGAACCGTGAATCACACATTCGGTGTTAATTCGTTCGTATCGTTTTTAGCAAAATATTAGGAGGATCCTCTAAAATCGGGAGTGAGATATTTTATTATGTATATAACAGTTCGAAAATATATTGGCAGTGTTTACTTCGAACACGCATTCATTTGTAGCAGCACACAGCTTCGCATATTTGTTTATACATATGACACGCGATTTACGGTTCACCGTATATATAACTTCGCGACTCTCGATTATCCGTGTATACTTATATGCTTCTCTTAACTCCCGTAAATAAATTAATATAGCCCAAATCGTTAAAAATACTGTATAATATTTCGATTTGAATTAAGGTAACGATAAGGTTCTTACTAGAACTATGAACGTGAGTTTTGTTACGTTCCTTCTTCGTATCGCAAGTGTTGTTTTGCGAATGAATCTTGTGCATCAGAGTAATGTGTGTTTTGCGTGTTTATACATCGATATAAAACTGCTAATATTCGTCTCACATCCTCTGACTTCTAAAAACCTGATCATGAGCATTGAGATCGAGCAAAGATCCATCTGCTTTCTTCATTGAGAAGAAAATTCGATTGGTATAAAAAACAAGAAAATACGAGACGTACAATATCATCATATTGAGACGGAAATTGCCGTCAGCTCGATATAAAATTTGCTTAAACGCTGTGTATAAACGTGTTTCTTCATAAAATAATTACATTAAATAGGCACACGCGATGTTTTGAGATTATTGGCGCCGAGAATATCTTATTTTTATATTGCTTATTTGATTGAGTTACGTATGTGAGATTTAGCAGCGATACATAATAATACATAATAATTCACGAGAGAAATACGCAATGATCAAACGCGTGTTATAAGACTCGTCTTATATTCAATCGATAAAATGCGATTTATATTTAAGACGCTTTTGCTCCAAACGTTTTTCTACTTTATGCGCGAGGCCCTGCAATACTGGGTAATACTAATTTCCGCATTATTACCATATATCACGGTTAGGAATTATTGTCTTTTAGCAGACGCGAGTTGGTGTAGTCGTGACACTACCTTGTTGCCATTAAAACCGCTCATAATTGACGAATACGTCGCGTCAAGTCGAAATCTCCCAAGTAAATTCAGATCTTCATGGAATAAATTTTTACTGTTTAACCATTCATTAGTGTGGTGGATTAGAAAATTACTATAGAAAAATTATAGAAATTTCAGCAAAAAGAGGAGTGTTAAAATAATACAAATAGGCCACTAACTCTTAACTTCTTCTCAAACATCACGACTGTAATAATTGTTTACGTTAATTTTGAATTAAGTTACTATTTAATTCATCGAAGTTCGATTTACGTAATTTATATAAACTTTCATATTTAATATACATATATAATATCTATTATATAATGGGTGTTACCCATTGTATATAGTTTTGATATTATACATATATATATTAAATATACAAATATTAAATCGTTTTAAAGCGTCTAGAATTATAAGCAATAACCGTGCTCATATATCTTCGGGAGATAAAATGAACAAAACCACCACAATAATGAATAGCTAAATGTTTACAATTGCACAAGAACGTGCTAGTTAACAGAGTATTCCCAGATCACAGAGCGGTCTCAAGAGTAGGTGCACTCGGGCTACGGGCAACGTTTTGTGTCGCAGCGTGTTGGGGTGATTCCGATCTCGCTCTAAATCTCTTCTTGAAGTATTGGTTCTGCGTCTGGTTAGTGTTTGTGTGCGCGTTTGCCAGGAACTGCGCTCTCGCCAATTGATTGCTAAGTCTCCTCGATTCGAAAGCAGTCACGGGGTCTAAATTTTTCGATTCGGTCGACGGTACAGTCTTCGAATATTGCTCCGTACTATTCGCAGGAGATGCGATTCGCTCGGGATTATTAGATACACTCGCAACCAGCTTCTGCATTTTGTCGCTTTGATTTCGCAGCTTTGTCGTGAGATCAGTATCAAGTTCGTTCGTCGGCGTCTTATTTGCCGTTTCGCGATCAGCGAGACGCAAATGAGTCGGTAAATCGCTGCAGAGGTCCAATTGCCTCCTGAAGTTCAGTCTTGAGATAGGTGACGTGTTCTCTGGCGAAGGTTTCATAGCTTTCTCCTCTGCAGCGGTGTCTTCGATTATGGTGGAAGAAAGTACATCTGTTCTCGGCGTCTGGAACCTCCAGACCGAACGAGGACTCAGAACTTTGGCTAAGGGACTCTGATGGGCGTTCGGCGACGATTGTTGCTGCTGCTGTTGGCACTGATTGCGCGACAGTTGTAATTGTTCCGCCGCTGATCGTCGCATAGGACCTGTCTTCACGCTCTGCTGAAGGAGCAAACGCTTAAAGTCCATTCGTGACGTAGGCGACTGGACAGTAGTTGGTATCTGGAAAAGATCCAGCAAATTAGCGAGTGAAACGAGCTGTGTCGAATTGCAATTCGAGGTACGATGTCTTAAAAAAATAGAGATACCACCAATTCGTTTATAGAAAAATTCAGTTCGTCATCTTGAATGTCAAATAAATTCAGATCTTGTAAAACTTGGGAGAAATCAACAAACTCTCATTTCTCTGAGAAAACTTCCAAATAATCTCTCGAATCGATAATTTTCACGAAGATTTGCAAATATACTCGTGATTACCTCTGGAGCTTTCTGAAATTCCGGGCTCCAACTGTGTCTGGTGCCAGCCGGTGCCTTCACTAGGGAGTTCATCGAGCCGTAAGGCGACAGATTTTCATTATCGTCGTTGAGTTTGATGTTGAGCCGTTTCTTCGACTTGTGAATCGCGGCGAACAGTTCCTCGTTGGACATGGTGCTCTTGGTGGGCGACAGGATCAGATTCGTCGGTGTGTTCCTGCCGGAAGAGGTCTGGACAGGAGTGCTCCTACCGGAGGAGCTCGGCGATGCGCAATTATTAGCGGAGGTTAGAGCTAGACGTTCCGCTACGGTTGGCGCCGATCGCCCGATGGGAGTGGACGATTTGAAGCCGTTACCGTAGCCGGGGCCGATCGGCGAAATTGGATCATTCTTGAAAATGTCCGCGCTAGGAGATTTCGTAAGAGGATCATTGGCGGGCGAGGATGCGAAGAATCGATATCCGAGTGCAGCTAGGTTTAAAGGCGTTGCGAACCTGCTTAAAGACAATGAGACGTTTAACGTTATGCCTATCGATCGCGATTACTTATTGTTAGCGTCGAGTTACCTCGACGAACTCGATGTTTAATGATCTATGCTCTCACGAGATAAAGGTAGCTTTTCATACAATGGAGATGGAGAGGATATCTAGGCGATTAATGTCCGTCGATACCATCTCCGGTCTCTTATAATTAATAGAGTCGTTGAAAGAAAACGCGATTAACCTGTTTCTGACATCCACGACCGACTGCGGTTGACTCTGCACATATCTACCCCGCGCCTCCTGCTGCTCCAAGTTCCTCCTTCCTAAGTCGACATGGGAGCCATATCGGGTTTGCTCGTTCTCTGCTATCCTCTGGCCCTGCTTCGCCATCACGTGCATTCCGCTAAAGGAACCGCGCCCGAGACCTCTCGTAATGTCCGGTGTGACGCTGCGTGGCGGGTCGACCTCTCGTTGAGGTCTCCTCGTCGGCAGAGTGTAGAACTGCTGGTTGACGTTTCTGGCCGGCGAGCACAGTTGCTGGTTCTTCGCATTGTGCATGTGCACTGTCTGGTAATTGACGGCTCGCTGGAAGTCATAGTTCGCCATTTGTTCCTGCGCCTGTTCGAGGAGAGTCTTGCCGCTGTCATATTGCTGGATCGGGCGAGGATCGAAGATATCTTGCGAATAGATCTGCTTTCGGTCCGCGATCGGTTGCTTCTCATTGTCAGGATAAGTTCGCAGACTCGAGTCCTTCAGAATCTCCTGGTATTTCTGTGACTTCTGTCGGTCCTCCGCAGGCGGCGGTGGAGCGACGTAAGGTGGCGGTTGGACTATCGCCTGCGGCGGTATCGATTCCGATGGTATGCTGAGTAAAGGATTGTCTGCAACAATTAAGAGAGTGTCGTTACGTTCCTCGCAAATATTCGAACTCGCGTCGCGATAGGATCGATTACGATCGTTTCGTTTTCAGACACTTGCGATCTGGGTATTACTGTCTTTTAAGATCCTTCAGGCAGTGCGAGAGTAAAGTAGTTCTTTCGAAAACTTGTTAGATTTTGATCATGCCTACGTATGTTACAGTTGGTATATCGTATTATTTTTTACGGTTGTCTCTTGCTTTGTTACGATTATTCTTGGAAATATATCGCGTTTAGAAGTTATAAAAAAAGTTTTGAGTTTTTACATATATCAAACACAGCGTTTCGTGAGTAGATCTTAGTACGATTGTTAGTTTTCTATTGTTTGTTGGTCTTATGTAAACGTTTCGATTAAACGCGTTAACGATACTTGATTAATTATAAGACGCAGTTAATTTGAACACATATATTAAGAACATTGGCTGACACGAGGACTGTTATCGAAACTGCAAGTGATCAATCCAAGCAAGACAAGCATATTGCAAAAGCGCCACAAACACATGCATGCGGTAGACAAAACGCGAGCAAATCATGATACCGCGAGCGAGTTGGATGCCAATTTCCGCGCAAGTTGTATAAATGAAAATCGTTTAGTTTAAAAATTCTATTTTGACGCTCATTCGAATTAAATACGTATGTAAATTGAAATAACATAAATACTCCCATATCGAAAAATTTAATTGTACGATATATACGTATAAATAAAAGAATGGAGAGAGCATTATATTTCATTCAAAAATAAAAAGATAGAAATTCGCTTACGAATTCGCATCGACGTCAAGCTTGCTCGCCGTATCAGCGAAGTTAAAAAAAAACGTACTCACCAGGTATATGGAGCATGGAACTATGATATGTGGGTGTGTGAGTTACTAGTGAGGGGTGCCACACGCGCGTGAGGGTGCATTTTTTCTCTAGAACTATACAGTAGGCACATGTACGAAGATACGTAACGAAAAAGAAATAATACACAAAAAACAGGCTCGAGGACCGCGGAATTTGCGAGGGGTGCAGTATTTACAGTTTCAGAGATGTAGATGATGCGTGGTATATATGGATGAGACGACAGACAGACCGAGAAAGAGAGAAAGAAAGAAATAGAATGAGAGAAAACAAATGACAAAATGCAACGGCTTTCCAAAAAGAATGACGTCTATTCACATACATTCCTCGTAAAACGTTAATGACATCGTCTCTCGTCGGCGCGTCTAATTCTATGTACAGGCAGACTGCGCCGCGATGCAATCCGAGTGTACAGGGTGAGAGAGAAGGTGTGTATACATATACATATTTATATAATAACGTTGCGTAGATCTTAACGACGGATACAGGGGTCTTAACGCTACGACACATATACACATGTACAGTACACGTGAATAGTGCATGCTCCCCTGCCCAGGTTGTAAGTACGTCCTTGGATATTAGTTGCAAGCTGATTAATTAACACTGCTGCCAGGGTAACACCGTGAGGGAACGCGGTTGCGCAGGCGATACGACGCGCTGCACCAATTCCCCGCGATTCTAATTAATGCAGATGCGCCGGTATTTTACAACCGGTGTGTTATTATCGCGTGTTACCGCGAGCACACGGAGCCCGAACTTGCAACACTCGCCCGTAACTCGATGTTATCGCGCGCTAACTAAGTGTTCGAGGTTGACATGGTAACTATCGTGTGGATTATAGGTGATGTATGCCCGTTACAAAACGTCCGTTATATCACCCATGAAGGGAGAACGATTCCTCCAAAGGCGCGCACAACTACCTTCCACGAATATTCTTATGCGCGTAATTTATCCGCGTCCGAATAGTCTCCTTTTGCCTTTCCCTGGAGATTATTTTTCTATTTTTTATAGATTAGAAAGCTTTTCCTCTTAGCGTTTTCTGACATGGAGTCGGATTTCGACAAGGAAGAATTTAGCAGTCAATTTAACGATATCATTCTCTAGAATAATAAATATATGTGTATGCGTAGAAATCTGACTGAAAAGGGATGTCGCGTTGTCACGGTGCCACCCTGATTGAAACCCATGATCGCAGCTACGGGGTTCTATGTGTCCACAGTTAGTCCTTGTTAGTCAGTGATAGACGCTACTTACAACGACAGGCGAGCACGCATCGAGCTAACATGCGACACGGCAAGTTAAGGCACATTTACGAGAGTTTCACGAGCATGCCGGGACGTCAACTGCCATTGTCTGCTCGATCGTGGCGGATGACGGCCCTGTTTATTTGTAAAATACTTAACAACGATCAGTCAACAGTCGGACTTAGAGATACGTCTTAACACTTCCCCGACCCGAGCGAAATTAAAATTGAGTCACCAAATCGGTCCAGTGAATGCACAGTGTCAATTTTAACTTATGCCTCGGTGAGTGCCGAAAAGACGCCCGAGGAAAAACGTAACGAGACGTAACGTTAACGAGACTTTCACGAATGTCTCCGATTACACGAGCGAAGAGGCGAGATGGTCGACAAAGTGTTAAGGTAAAGTCAGTACAATAACGTGATTCTCGCATCGCCGGTTCGTAGATGGAGGTCAATAACTTAACTTCGCGTAATGCATTATGTACTCATCGATCAATCGCGAATGAAGCGTGAAAGGAAATTGAGGAGATCGTGGCCGCACGATTACATTTAAACGCGTACGCATCGGAACGTCTCTTTCCCTCGTTGCTTTATCGACGTGAAAAAAAAAAAAGAATGAGACTCACGTCATTGGCATCAATGTTTTCTTACCCTCGTTCGCGTCGTATCAACGTCGGAACAAAGAATGCGCCATGACGAATTATCCGTCTATCGCGAGCGGATTTTATTGACTCTGACTAATCCTGCTCTTTACTTTTCCACGCGGATTTACATTTCGAGACTCCCGCTGCGTCGCGAGAAATAGCCACGAAATCGCGCAAAAAACTCGACCAACGATAGGAGGCTCGTCGACCTTGCGATAATACGCAAAGTGGTCGTAGCTGTTTCTGGCAATGCAGCGAAGTGGGCGTTCTACACGGGATCTCAAAGTCGGCAGTACCGTAAATCATTTTTATCGTAGTCACTGGCCATGTGTGCAGTTATACACAAAAAAACAGAAACGTGCATCGCTCTATGACACTACCGTCGCAGATATCTAAATATATAAATTATTATATTCATAGGTAATGCTTCATATGTATATATATATATATATATATTACACGACACGTTCGTGCCTCAATATATATAAATAACGTGAACAGAGAGATCGCATTTACGGCCGATCTTGCAAACGATTTACGCTTGTCGCATCGACGCGGCGATTTTTCTCTGTACATCTGATTGGACGGATTTTTTTTTTCTATAATTCTCTCTTTCTTTCTGTTCGCGACGCGAACAGTTGCGCGTGTCTCTAAAAATAATTACAAATCGGCGAACGGCGAAGATAAATATTATCTGCACACAGCCGCGGCCGAGATCGAGTGCACGGCGAAATTTACACGTGTTCCGTCTGCCTCTTACGCCAATCGCGTTTATTTTGAAGATCGCATGAGCGGAATTATCTGTGACCACCGCAATTATATTTGACTGCAATTTTACGCAACGGTACCTCGCTTTATTCGACACTGCTCGTCGCAGTCATGAAAATGTCACAGGTTGTCGAAAAAGTCTCGTGAATTATTACACCGTTTTTTTTTTATTTTTCTTCGACGAACGCGTTAATATTATTGTTTACTTGCGACGTGATTCACGCGAGAGATCTAGGTTAAAGGTTCACTTTTAAGATAAACGCGCATACGGGCGCGAGATTCATGTTTGGTGTGCATTCTGGAGCTGCGGTGGAGAGAGCAAAATGTCGGTGGGGAGGATCGAGTTTTTCATTTTCTTCCTTTCTTCTCTCTCTCTCTCTCTCTCTTTGTGTCTTCGTCTCTCTTTATTCTCGTATTTTCAATGGTAGTTTCCACTGAATGTCTTCGCCTCCCCTCCGAGAGATGCGCTTCTTTATAATCTTGCGCTAGTTTTGCAATACCGATAACGACGCGCGCGGTCACTCACGCGATCACATTAATGCCAGTGATGTCATTGATATAGTCATAGACTTGACGGACAAATTAGCGTCCCACTTGAGCTTCGCGGAATGTATGATGAAATTGAAAATACACCGACCGCGAAAAAATAGAAGGAAAGACTGGATTTACGCAGAAGACGTTAAATTTGAAGTTAGGAGATCGTCATAGTGTATTATTATGTCATAAAAATACTCAGTATCTACAGTTTCGTAATATTTCTTAATGATCTCGGGGCAATGATAACACGTTGAATTATTAGTTTATGTAAGAACGTAAATATACGGAAAATATTTTTATGGAAAATATTACCAAGGAGAAGCGCAGGTCATTGAGAGAAACTTATCAATAGATATCGGTGCAATCAATATAAATGGATTTACGTGAGTGACAAATGATAAGAATACAAGGTCCTCGTGTATATTTGTAAATATTCGATATTTCCTTCGGATTTGTGATGTAATATTCAATCACGCGCTTTTGCAATATTGATAACGATGCGCGCGGTCACTCACGCGATCTCACTTTAATACCAGATATTGTCATAGACTCAGTGGAAAAATTAACGTGCCACTTGATTTTCGCGGAAAGTTCAACGAGTTAGAAAATGCTAAGTGAAAAATTGAGGAAAGATTTGGATTTATGCGCATGTCGTTAGATTTGAAGATAGATTTGTCGGGAGTGCGCGAGAAAAATATTAAAAAAATCAGAAGAATAATTATAATAATATGACAAAATTTATGCGAGATCATCATAAACTATTATTTCAGAAAAGTTCGTGATATCTAGAATTTTGTAATATTTTTTCGAAAATCTTGAGGCAATAATAATGTGTTAAATCATATATATCTTAGTAACGAATACGAGTAATTCAATTAAACATACATTAAATTCAATTAAACTTTCGCCAAAGAGAATAACAGGTTATCACAGTGACAAAAACTTATCGAGAGATATCAATGCAATGTAAATGAATCAACATAAACGACAAACGATAAGAACACAAGGTCCTCTTGAATATTTGTAAACCTCGATTTTTCGTTCAGATTTATTATGTAACACGAATCGTAACACGTTGCAAAACCAAACTATGTCACGATATATGTAAATATGTAATATGGAATTCCTAACTTAACCGTTTGAGTCCCAAGCAGCGTGATCGCGCTGTTGAGATTTTATGTCGAGAAAACCCAGCACATTTCGAACATTGTGGACAACTGACGGTGCGTTACCGATTGTCGAAGTCGCAAGCTCAGATTTACTGACGCAAGTACATCACACAGCTCCTTTTAATGTAAATAGTACATTTTACAATATGTAGAATAATACTATAATAATGCAATAATACATTCCAAAATAAAAATTTTTATTTCATTGTTATCTTCTCAATAATTTTTATCGAACAAAACTTGAAATATTTATAAATTTACAGTACGCATATGTAATAATACAGATGTATTTTATAAAATAACGAATTACAAATTAACAATATTTTTGTGTTATGAACAAATAATTTAAATGGAGAGTAACACTTATAATTTGTAACATCGGTGTTTATCAAAACATATTGGATGAATTCCTTTTTTACATCGGACGCAAATTAAATGTGATCTTTTTATTGCATTTTTTATGCTGCAGACTACGCATTGTCGCAAGTTACTTGTTGCGTTGCTTTGTCTAATCATTTTGAAACACACAATTATTAACAATGAGAAACACTTATGGAAGAATACGTCTGATCACTTTGCAAACTGCAATAAATGTGACGGAGCGATGAGAAAAAGACGAGAATCACGTTACCTAACACATACAAGAAGCGCTATCGCGCCGCTTGGTATTTCTCGACATAAAATAAAACAAGCGCTATCGCGCTGCTTGGGTATTTTCGTACTCATTTAGTAAAAGCGCGGATGCGCTGTTTGGGATCCTTCGACAGCGTTTTTTCAATACCTCCCGGGACTCAAACGGTTAATACATCCGTTAAAATAATTCTCCGCGATTTATTACGATTATGTTGTTTTATAGGAGGATTGAAAATGAAAATTGTAATGTTTACAGATTTTTAACATGCATTAGTATGCGTGAAAATGTGCGAATAGCTAACTGTTATAGAATTAATTCGCAATTACCACAGTGAAATTTCGTTGATTCCAAAGGAACATATTTCAATCTTCAAGTTTCATAACACTGTCAAATAATTTTATAAAAGTAACTTTTACACACAAGCGTGAGAATTCGTTATTAATTCCGATATCCGTGTATTTAATTTCGACAATTTTTCACACAATCAGACACGCGTTTGTTTTGAAATCTCTCGCCGTGGTAGTTACGTCAATGAATGTTAGTCAAGGAGATCAATGATCGCAAGGTAATACACTCCCCGCGGAAAATTTTTTGTGGTGTTCGACTTACGAGGTCGCCTGGTCGCTATGAAGAGAAGATGTCTCGCCAGCATGTCGGGGTATTGGCGGGAGCCACACTGATCGAGCCGGGAATCGCGAGTCGACTCACGACCGAGCGATTCTGCGTATCAACCGGCGGCCGGCGACTGTCTGTCTAGCGACAGGCTTTCCTCCCCGTTCTTGCACCGATAACGTTTTATCGTAAATGCTGTGCTACAGATCGGCTGACACGTGAAGCACCCGAAGACCTCTTACGATATTCCGGAAGGGATTTTCGTTATCTCAAATATTCGATGGGATAAACACTTAGGAGAAATAGTTATAGAAAATTATCAAATCGATCTTAGAAACGTGTCTTCGAATCGTTGTTAGACATGATGATTTCGAAAAACGTCATATATGCTCACGCAAAAATGCGATTTCTATCACGGCACCGAACACCTTATCGAGACTTGCGATTTCGAGTACCGAGCGGATCTCAGGGATTCTTAGAAGAAGCTTGTGAGCGAAGGATGGACTGTTTCGCGATTCGATCGTAAGGACGATCGTAGCGGAGCGCACTGAAAGCGCCGGAGAGCGCACGAAAGTATTTCAATCCTCGGTCGGGATTTTTATTTATCAGCATCTGGCTATTATCGTGCCGGGATAAACATCACGTCTGATGCAACTCCGTTGGTTATTGAGCCAGCGGCTAATGACGCTGATAAGGACTAACAAAGTGAGTCTTCATTGGGTGCCATTCCAACGCGATAATTCACCATTTTCCCCTTTGCCGAGGAAAGTTTCAGAGGAAAGTTTTAGTGTTAACTGCGCGATTTGATGCTCTTCCGCATAGATCTGAATACACAAAATAAACATAACACACAGATGAAGAACACGAGGTGGTCGATTTTAACTCATCGTGAGTAGTCTGATTTTAAGAAACAATGCTCTACGGTATTGTTTTTGTGATAAATTTAATTAAGGAAACTCAGTTGAATTGGGTGCTTTTTTTGCAAATTAGCATATGTACATATCGATCGGGAAAACTCGTTAACAGTTGATTAGATTTGAGGAAAGGTCTTAACTAACGGGGATTCCTAATTTGGGATTTTCATTGCTCAAACTTTTTTTCAATTAAGAGACCAGGATAATTTGTTCCAAGAAGAAGAGGAAAAGCCGATTCGTTTGATTAACCTTGCCAAGCGCGCTTTCCCGGCGAGCTAATCGCGACAGAACTATTGAACTCTAAAATCTTCCACACACGAGGACCGTCGTTTGATGATAGAGAGCTCGGTATTTATCTCGTTACAGAATTAAAACATCGTCCGGGGATCGTCGGCCGACTCGCAGCTGAGAAGATCGGACAAGCGTTAGATAGGGAAAACGTGACCGGTATGCGTGTATCTCCCCTTCGTCTATCTTTGTTCACGTCGCGCGAGAAAAAGTCGTGCGAACTCGTTATCGCGACCGTCGAATGGTTCATTTGCCCCCTTCAATTCGACGGAGTGACACTACAGGCCAGGGGCCCCCCCTTTTGTATAACGCGCTGCAACATGCCGATATCTCCCCCGCGACTGCTCACTTCTCGCTCCAGTTGTATCTGATTAGACCTTGATTCCGCTCATCCTCCGGTCTATTTTACGCGATGATCTTACCGTGGTTATTTAACGTCTCGAAGTCGCTCTCCGCAGTTATCGCGGCGGTCGCGTATATACATTGGAAGCAAAAAACGATTCTCGAAATGCCGTAATGCTCGTTGTACGAAGACAAATTTTTGCAACATTACTGTCTCTAGTTCCTTAACAGTCGCGTATATCTTATTTTAATTACTCTTTTTTATTTTTTTCAGAAGCTTCGATCTGAAATATGAAACTTTGGTGGGATAACAATATTATATAGATTGTAAAAAAAAACCTTTAAATTAACACGTTGAATGCCACGGGGGTCACCGGTGACCGGCGCTATGATGTTACCGCGTTTTATTAAATTACATGTGACGTATAATTAATTGCATCTACAAAATAGGTTGTACAGCCAGTAATGAGCTGATGAAACAAGCTAACAGATGCGTATCCTGAATTATATTTATTTACTGCAGCTTTAGTGATTTAATTGAATCAATTAGGCGTTTGTACGATCGATGGAAATCAGCGTGGCATTCAACGTGTTAAATACATCTAATTTAATTTAAAGGACATTTTCGCACGGGGATATTTGTTGCATAAAAATTTGTTATAATTTATCGTGACACTGATTTTTTCCTTCGGGATAAATCTCGAACATGAAATTTCATCTCAATTCACAAAGTACCTGCAATAAGAAATTTTATTGCTCGTTTGCTGAGGGTAGACGACGGTATCGATTTCTCATACCGTTAGGATTACCCCCCATAGAAAGACAGACGGCGGAACAGACTCGGCGAGTACAGGCGCACTTGACGCGGCGTAAGACAACGTTATCGTACTTCCCAAGCGTGTAATGATCGTCGACCAAAGCGAACGAACGACGAGCGATGATGCGTTTGTTTTGCTAGACGCAACCCGACTCGTATCAATTCGCGTCAACCTCACGTTTTATCTCGTCGTTCCCGCTTCGTATCGGTATTGCAAAACTGACGATGCCGGCACGCACACTATCGCAACATTCTCTACCAGATCTCGGTGTCGTTGCTGGAATACTTGAGCACCCTAGCCGGTTCCAAGTCCGTAGCTCTCGGTCTAGGACTAGTCGGTACTGATTGAATTGGCACCGGTACCTTTAAGTTCACATCGAAGCTCATGCTATCGTCGACCTGCGGCTCCGGACTAGAAACCGTCTCGGGATAATTGATCCTCTCCTTCAGCAGCTCCTCCTGCAGCTCCTCGGAGGGCGTCCTGCAGATCTTAGACGACTTCTCCACGCTGTTTGAGAATTTCTTAATGAACATAATCGGACTGTTCGCCATGCGATAACTCTCGCTACGTTTCACCTTACGGTCCGTTTTCTCACAACCGTGCACCTGGTTATCGGACTTCCTGCCGGACTGGTTATCCAGACATATGGCTGAAAGGTCCACGTGATCGATATTCGCGCTCTTATCACCGGGTTCGCGATCGTTGAGCATCGACATCGCGAATTCCAACGTGCTCTCCTCGACCGTGTTTCGGTCGTCGTTCGAAGCAGGGTCGAGGCTCCGTCGGCAAAAGCTCGGAGTATCGAGATCCGAGACCAACAATTTTCTACCTAATTTGGGCGTGTTACCGCTCACCCGCACGATTTTTTGACAGAGACTCGGCTTATCCGAGTCTGTTCGCAAATTCGCGGAGTTGTCGAGACTAATCGGCGGAACGATCGTCGCGCAAGCGTCGCCGTTGAGCTCCGGCGGCTGGTTCTCGTCGTGGGTTCGACTCCTTAGAGTTCTCGTCTTGGACTCGTCCTTAGAGCGTGGAGCGGTCGCAGACGTGCGTGGTGCGGCTTCTAATCTACCGGTGCGGCCAGTGCAATCGCGCTGCTCGTCGGCGCTCGTGCCGGACGTGGACGTGGTCTTACCTTCGTCACCTTGCACGTTGACGTAAGCCCCGCGGACTTGTCTGTGCGGACTGGTCGGACTCGTAGGACCGACCACGGTCGCCAGTGTGCGCACGTAATCCGGACTGGCCGCGCGATCCGGACTCCGCGCTGCCCGTATGATCAGCTTGCCCAGCTGGGGAGACGTTGGCGGCGTGGACCGGCTGAGACCGTCCACGGCGTCTCCGCTCTTTGGCACGGCGCGGATATTCGGCATAGCGCGGTGCAGCAACGGCGACGGGCTGGGTGATACACCTTCTCGCACGAAGGGACCTCGAAATAAACGCGTCGCGTGAAAACACGAATTCAATCGTTCACACCGGGAAACAAACGCGCGAAAGCATGAGTTCAACCATTCACACCTTAATTAATCTAGGTTTGGCCAGATCCGCGAACCGCTTTCGACGATGAATTTATTTATGTTAGAAACCGGAAAGAATTGGACTTAGAAAGATCGGATGTAGTTCCTAAAGTGTCTATTTTCCAATATGTATGTAAGATATTAATTATTCAAATTGGCGTCAAATGAACACACCTGAAAGATTTCTCGGCGCAAATAAGGGTGAATGATATGACGTTAAATTAATGGGTGTATTTTTTTCAAATTTACACACCGCGATTTAACTTTCATTCGCACCCAAAACATTTTTAGATATGTTCATTTGGGACTAATTGGCACCGTTTCACTACATTTCATCAACAATCGGAGGACGTGAAACGGTGCACTTCCGTGAAAATGTAGCCGGGATTCTTGGCGTTTCGGCAAATTTTGCGAATTCAAAAGCTAAGTTCACATTCTCGATGAGAAGAATGATATTTTTAATTAAAATAACGGTGGGTCGTAAGTAATCGAAGCTACTTACCTGGATTGAATGTTGTGTGCGCTCCTTTCCTCCTCTTTAAGCTATCCGATGAGTACACAACTTTTCCTTCGGAATCCAAAGTGACGCGAGCGCCTTGCCTCTTCCTTTCCAACGAGGAATCCGGCTTCTTCGGCAGCTCGCTCAGACTCACGTATTCAGCGTCCTTCTTGAAGATGTCGGAATTAGCGTAGGTGGCGGTAGGTCGGACAGGGGTCATGCCCGATGACGACGACGACGACGACGAGGATGGTGGACCCGGACGCTTGTCGTTGTTGTTTCTCACGTCGGCTATTGTCACATAGTCGCCGGAGTCTGCGGTCGACAGCTCCTGCATAGCGCCGTTCTTCGTGGGGTGCTTCCTACCTGGAAGCACACCACGAAGCTTACCCAGGACGCCGCTAAGTGGACTGATCTTCATCGACGACTGGCTCGCTGTTATCGGCCTGTCGTTGCCGCTCGCGGCTGGCAACACCTGCACAGTGGCATATAGATTCTTGTCCTGGCCATTGATCACCTCCATCTTGGAGGTGCCAACGGTGGCGGACATCAACACTGATCCGCCGCTCTGTAGATCGGGCCGTCTTGGCTCGTTCTTCTTTTTCTCGCTTTGTTCCGTCTCTCGTGTGTGTTCGTCGTCGGAACCAGGCGGCGTGATCACACACATCGAGGGGATTCGACTGCTAGTGATCGCCGTTTTCGAGCGGATCCTCTCGATACGTTCGCAGCCTTCCAGATCACTCGACTCTGAGTACTCGAATTCAGAGCACGATCGGCCGGTGCAGGCTGGACTCGAGGCGGATTCGACCGGTGACGAGGATGTGTTGTGACCGCTGTCCGGTGACTCGCCGCCGTTCTGATTTTGACCGTGGACCTGTAAATAGAGAGAAACGAAATCGTTAAGAAGGAACAGGTAGAAGAAAGTTGAAGAATGGGTGTGATACGCAAGAAATTCTTTTTCTATTGATGAACGCAAGGTTCACTGCAGTAATGTTTAAGTTAAGTTAATATCATCTTGTTTAAAATTCACAATTAGCTTTCTCACATCAGGTGTCGGTTTTATCATACTTTGATCGTACCTCTCTTCATTATATGATGATATATGAATGCTGAAGTATATTAGAATACCAAATTTATAACTCACCATAGCAACAACCGTGAGACTGGATTTGCGTTCCGGGGGTGGTGGCGCCATCAGCGCAGTGCAAACCGTCCCAGCTGAACTAGTCGTTGTAGAAGTCGATCCTCTACCGAATAATTCGTACTCGTTCTCGACGATCGGCGAGGTAGGGTCGGAGCCGATGTCACTGGACTTTGTCAAAGGGCTCTGTGGCATGGATTCTTCCTCTCGAAGTGTTTTCAAACCAGAGTCCATGTGAAACGAAGTGTAGTACCCCTCCGTATCGCAGGAATACACGGACGATGTCTCACCGTCGTCGGTGAAAGGCACCACCGTGATATCTTGTATGATATCCGGGGTTAAAGTACCCTCGGACGTTACTGAAGACGAGGCTGATGTGTCCCTTCCTTTGAGTCGCCTCATGTGACTTAAGGAAGTGGAGGACGTGCCGATCGAAGCGGTCGTCGTGGACCTGAAATGATAATATAATATATAACATTATTCCTAGATAAGCGCAAATTTCCTTCTGATTTAGACAATCTAAAAAATACTATGCGTGTTTGCAACTTCAAGATGATCGCTGATTAATTTACTCCAAGATAATAAAAATTGAATTAAAATGAGTTACTTCAGCCTTCGATAATCGCGATATTTTTTACCCGTAAATTGCCGTATATCTCACAGATACATTAATTTTCCCATTATTTTCTTCCGCTTCTTGAGACAATTCCTCTTTCTTTTTCATTAATATTTGGCTAATGGAAGACCAAGCACTAAAGTGCGTAAAGAACAGTGAGCAGCAAATTGAGAAATATTAGGATAATATCTATTGGATATTGCGACTAACGGAGGATTAAACGCGTGATCGTTTAGGCAGAAGGATCGTTCGGAGAACACGAGGTTTCGCTCACCTGGGCTGATGCGTGGTGGTAGTGGTCTCGCTGCCGATGCTGGCCCTTCCGCTTTCGGACGAAGCGCTCCAGTTCCCCGAGCTGGAGTGCGGAGCGTCGTCGCGGTTGCTGCCCTTCCGTCTCTCTCGCCTCTGGGCGGCGCTCTCGCGCAATTTCACGCTCGGCTGTTTGTCCGTACTCGGCACCGACACCGGTATACTGGCCGTGCTTTTGCCACTCGAGCTGGACGAGCTGGGCTTCCTCTCGTGCGACTTGTCCCTTCTTCGTCTCGTCGTTACTGTCTCGTAGATGTTGATCTCTTCCGGCGACCTCGTCTGGCCTTGAGTCTGTTCGCTCCTCTCTGTGCTGGATGCGACAACCGTCGATTCTTGCTGTTGCTGCTGCTGACTTGATTTCGGGCTGATCAGCTTCAGTCGGGACATGCCCCACGCCTTCAATGTATTGAAGTGTGACTTCTTTTCCGTGGGCGAGTCCTTCTTCGTAGAACCCAGGATGTCCGTGCTCGCTGAGCGATGAGCTCTCGGCGTGGCGCTCGGCATCGTCTCCTCGGGTTCGTCGCCGGTTGTCTCCCTGCGATGATAAATCACGTGAATGATCGCTAACACGACGTGCCGCGCGATTCGTGAGAGCGATTCGTACGTTCACACGGAGGATCATTTTTAGAAGCAAGAGAATTATGACGCTTTATGAGCGCGCTGTGATTAATTAGACAAAACAGTGATGCGCGGTCTTATTACGGATTTATCATCCACGTATATATTTCAATTGAGCAGGAGAAGACTCGAATCCCCCAGGACTCCCGTGTGAGGTCCCGTGCGATCGAGACCGTAAGATATCGCGCGACAATGATACAGAGATGATCAGCTAGTATTATCGCGGCAATAGAAGTACAAAGGCAGCGAGGGAGATTCTTCGTGCTTGGACGACTGCGAAAATATGAGCGCGCTTTATCGAGCGTGACAAATCGCCGACTCTTTTCGAGGCACAGATCCGCGGACCGCGTCCTTGCTGTAACAGAACTGCCACGATAAGGAGATCCGAGCAAAATGCATACTACTCGCTCACGCGAGTATATTTATTATGTCGTAAAAGTTGAAGGTTGCGAGAGCTCGGCGGCAGAGATGGCGCATTAATCCTTTCAACGTTGAACGATAGCGCTTAGTAATCTTCTTTCAAACGACGGTGAAAAATAGGCTTTATTGTGCGGGTCGCGAAACTATCCCGAGAGCGTCACTTTCGAAAACGAAATTTTCATCGTAATTTGAAATTCACAGTGCAAGATTGAAGGAAAAATTATTCATTTCGCGGGAAAATCGAAAATATAATTAAGAGAATCGATCTCAATATATCTTCGGAGTTCTCGGAATTTTCCCGGGTTTTCGATTAAGAGTCGCAGAATTGAAGGCTAGGAGGACCGGGCACTAGGGTGGATACTAACCCTCCGATGGCTTGCCGAATTTCCTTCTGATCGGTACCAGCGATTGTGTTTCGTCTCTTTCCCCTGGGCCTGCGTGGTCGTGATCTTCTCTTTACTGTCGTTTCCTGAGTTTCCGCCGGTCCTGACAGCAAGGACCTCCTTCTCATCGACATTCTTTCGAAACCTCGTCCGCTCACATCCACCGCCACGATTTCCGCCGGGAATCTGCGGTGAAGGCGTGCATTTCGGATCACAATGGGGAGCTTGTTGGCATCGATACAAAACTGCATGGCTTTGGAACGAGGATACAACAAGCCGGATAAGAGGAAGTCGTCTGACAGACTTCTGGTTTGCACGAGCTTTATGTATCTACCTCGTGTATGTACTATGTAATATATTACGTAATATATTATTCCCACTATTCTGCGGATTCTTCAAAGAAACAGCCAATTCCGTTTACAGCTCCAATTTCTCGGTTAACCTTCTCTAACTTCTATCAGCTCGACTTCAAAGTAGGGAAATAAAAATCTTATATTTTTTATGTATGCACATATTGTGTGGCAAGTTAAATTTTAATGACTTCTTTCAAATTGATAAGAAGAATGATGAAAATTTCACAAGAATAAACGTCGCGAATGAAATTAGAGAGAGGTTTGTTACCGTTATGGTTGGAAATACTCTAGACGAGTAGCGATTTAGACAGTTTCCATTGACGTGACACACGGAAGTAACGGTCACGGCTTTGAAAATACATTTTTTATTGGTGCGAAGGCTCCCCGGCCTCTATTCCGAATGGCGGTTTCTACTATTTCCGTCCTATCGGCGATCAAACGACGTATTGAGATAAACCGCTTACTTGAGCGCGATAGCCTGAACCTGTTCCTCGGGGCTGGGTAGCTTGTGATCGACGGCGTCGTCGCTGGTCGTGTCGCCCAGGATCCTGGACATGCAGTCCGGCGGTACGGTGACGTCGCCGAGCGCCTCGGCGGACGTCCATCTTCGCAGATCCTCGATAGCGGCCGGCTGCAACACACCGCAACGTAATCACAGCGCAATAAAACCACCGCCCCTCACGAGATATCTATTCTCGCGCGGTCTGTCACGCCATTCCGCGTAATTATCCGTATTTATCGTACCTATCTGTGTGCGTGGAGACGCGCACGTTCGAAGGAAACTCTACTTGAACACAAAATAGAGATTTAATAAGATCTATAAAATAGAACAATTTTATCGTACGAAAACAGATTTCGCGCGACAGACTGGTCGCTCACACGATACCTCTCGAGGAGAAACGGGAGAATGACTCTGTTGATTTGACCAATCGATTCGCTTTACACGCGGTAAGACGAGTCTGATGAAATAGTCAAACGGTCTCCTAAGCGGATTCCTAAGCAGGACGGTATGTTTCTCGTACCGCCGTATGAAAGAGTATTCTCGGGGCGTTTGCTCGGTGTCGTCGGACGGACCCCCGGTCTCTCTCGGAGCACGTAACAAACGAGTCGCTTTCTTTCCGTCGCGGGATCCGGAGTCCCCGCGACGATACGCGAGAGGGTGGCGGGAAATTCGACGCCGTAGCGAGAGGAAGATGAGCGTTGTTTTACGCGCCGCGACGGCGCGTGGGTGTTGACCATTGTCGGGATGTCACCTCGCCGAGAGCGGGCGGGTTTCACGCGCGGAATACGGAACGGATCGGGTTACCGTCTGCCGACTTTTCCGCGCGACGCGCTAGCCGCTGTCGTCCCGATCCGTGAAAACGGCCGACCTGTTTTGCTAAACGGTTTAAGTGCAGCGAAAACATGCGAGTCACGCATGTTTCGATGTCAATCCGGTAGGGGAGAAAACGGCGAAGTTACTGAAACTGTTTCAAAGAAACGGGGTTCGACACACGACATCGTGAACTCCTCAATTACACGGTGAAAGTTAATTACGGCGAATTAAGTGGGCAACGGGGTCAGATTTGACCCTGCCGTGACGTTTGAGAGTTAATGTCATGTCGTGAGTTATTCACTTGTGACTGTTGACTGTGATCTCTTTTTTTGCATTCGGCCGTTCGATCGCCAACGAAGTTACTCTAACTCGGTATTCAGTTTCTTCCGCATTTCACGAAGTCCACGGGAAGAGTACAGTCGCACCGATAAGACGATTCTCGATTCCCGGTTATATTGCTCGTTGGGGAAATACCGATACGTATGAATGCGCCGCCTGTGCACTTTCTCCTCTGACAAAAAGACTCATCTTACACGCACGAGAGGCGAGAAAGGATTAGATAATCGCATCGTGAACTCGTTATATAGATTATCTTCTGATGAAATGGTAACTCTTACTTATTCCGATAAAATGATAAATTCCACCATGTACAGTATGTGTCGTTGAATTTTATTCGTATTAATTAATCCGCATGTCTGGAGGTAACAAATTATATTTTTATGGTTTCTAATGCTTTTCAGAAAAACTTTGACAATTATTAGTCGATATAGTGTTGCTACAATATAATGATACAGTGTTGCTACAATTAACACTGAAGGGAAATATTTGACATTTTCTAGAACGAATTTTAATTAGGAAAAATACAGATTAATATGACTGGAATACCGTGACATTTTCATATTGAGAGAAAGGAATATACTTACGACTCTAGACTCGATGTCGAGGCTTTGGTCCCGCCTCCTCTTACCGAGAACGGGTGTGCAAAGGAACATATCCATCGAGCTGCCATCCCTCCTCAAGGAATCCAAACTTCGAACGGCGACTATGGCAGCGAGCTTATACAGCTCCTTCAGCGCCTTCGGCCTCGTATCTGGCGTGAATAGTCCCGTCGATGGTTTATTCGTGACGTGAAAATGCTCCGTTCTCGTCGCGAAAGTGCAGATATCCGATTCCGCTGCAACAGGAAGGAATACCATCCTTAACGATCGCGTGTCGCCCGAGAGAGATTGCGGCTGATTACACACTTATGTTAGACTGTTAAATAGATTCGCGTGTTTATGCAATTTCCATCACTCGTCATAAGACATCGCGTACAATAAATATATTAAACCATCTTAAGGTCATTCCACCTTCGATATACGTTCAATAAAATCGCCTTTTCATAAGATATATCGTTAATAAATAATATTATAAATATATTAAAATTATTACAATATATACAATTAAAGACATGTCTTTCCAATTACATGATAAAATATATTACCTCTCGACATGCAGATATAAATATATATGCACGTGTCGAGATCTTAATCGATCGTCGGATAAAAGACAATGTTTGTAAAAATTCTTCATATCGAATTAAAGACAGTTTGTGGCTGCGTTCGCGTGTGAAATCCCCTTAAACGTGCGCGGCACATGTTTTAGGGAAAAAATTAATCAAGTAATCGTGACGTGTGAAGAAAGGTCAAGTAATCAGAGATAAGGGACGAGGAATGTCTCGCGTCTCGTATCAAATTTAAGAGGTGCTCACGACTGCATCCCTTTTTTCTCATGGCCGTCCCGTAATGCGGCATTTTACCTCCGTGATATATTTTTTGTCAGTCATGTATGATATCACGCCGCTGACATATCTTAACTGTAAACATGTTCCATTCACGGTTTCTTGCATCGTAGCAGGCGTGGGCATGGAATCAGAAAAAAGGCCCAACTCATGCCACCCGCGCTCTCGAGGGGCACGCTTGATTCGCCGTTTCCGGTTGTTTTCAGAAACGGTTTCTTCCGTGACCAGAGCGGGACTTTAATTTCTGACAACGAGCCCCTTCCTAGTGTTTTCAATTAGACGTGCCAGGGACATTGATCTCATAATGCACGTCGATTATAATACAACGATTTACTTGTAAGAGCAAATTAAAAATGCATACTTATTGAATTATGTAATTTGTACTATTAAAATCTAAAGAATATCCTTTTCCCATTCTAAAAGAAAGATTGAGCGTGAAGTGATTTTTAGACTATACTTATTATTAATTAATAACGATTGTTATATCTGTTTTTTTTTTTAATTATTTATCTATTTCTCGATGAAATAACGTTAGAAATTTGCATATACCGATATACTTTGATCGAAAGCCGCGTCTGCAGCGCATGTAGATTTATGCGAATTCACCATGACCTGCTATACACACACACACACACACACATATGTGCGCGTACACGCGAAACACGTGAGTCGGATGATGAATGAGTCATAATGTCTGACTTGTGTTTTTATCGGCGATAGTCGGTCGCGATTGTCGATCGCGGGACAATGAAATCCCGTAAACACCTTTATGTTCGCCGACAATTAGCTTCGTTATTTAGGGCGCCATAATTGCTGGCTTCTCTTTTTGGTCCAGCTTTTGGCCCGGTAATGCACGCGCTTCGACAATGCGGTGTGTTTTTCTCGCGGGCGCAATGCAGCGGTTCCATTATCGCGTGCTCCTTGTGTTTTATCCCGTCGTTCCTGTTTTGTTTCGCACAATACCGCAGAAGGGTTAATCACCATTGGTCCGACACGCGATAGGGTCGTATCCCCCTTTAGAATTCCGTCTCGCGATCCTCCCGCAAGTGAGTGCGCCGCATCCAATAACGTTTGTGCTCGAATCGCACGCTCGATTTGCGCAGCGATGCTACGATAGAAATACCATTCTTCGGGCTGCGGATTCGCTTTATAGAACTCCGTCGGTGTTTGTGAATCGCGATGTTCAAATTTTAATGCGCGCAAATCGCGATATATTTGTACATTTTACCGTTTCCATCGACTAAACTTGAGGAATCCAGAAATCGAGATTTCACAATTGCCGTATGCGGAAATGAATAAGTCTAGAAGGTAAAAGGACATTGCAAAATCGACGAATTTTCAAGACGGGAGACGCGTGCGAGGAACTCCGTGAAAAATTTCGAAGAGCGAGCGCTACTCCCTGTTATCAATCCCTCGGCGTCTGCGCTCCAAATGGCTTCTGGAATACTTCGGCATTAAGAGTTACGCTAACGGTTCATTACGGAGCAAGGTAGTAATATCGCACGACCGCTCCGGGCATTTATGCCATAGTGTATAAACAGAGTGATGCGTGTACGTGCGGCCCGCGAGCGAGAGAGCCGCGCGCGCGGTGTGTTCCGAGCTGCAGTCCGATTCGATACAATCGTCCGTGGAGTATTTCTTACTAACCGTCTGTAACCTCGGAAGCCGATGCACATAACTACACCGGGTACAACCTTCTGCGGACGAGCGGGGAATCGACCTTCCTCCCCGTGATGTTCTGCAATCTCATCGCGCGCGAATAATCGAGAGCCGCTCTCGAAGCTACACCGCGTGCGCGCTTCGGCGCTCGGATTCCCCGCAAAAAGAAAATATCCTCGCGCGAACGCTGATTTCTCTTGTTTATTAGCTAGTTATCGGTTACAAGTGCTCGATGTCGTTTCGATCGTTTATCGGATATCGACGAGATCCCGATGCGCTTTTATGCAAGTTGAAAAACCTCACGGTATATTTGCCAGATATACCAACTTAACGTGGGAACTGTTATATTTGTTCTCAGAATGTCGACGACGAGAAACTCGGCGAGTCTTCGACTACACCGTGAGCCGACTGTCAACAGTTAGAACCTTGAAAACCGACACGACGATGCTGTAACTCCGTAAGCCGGGTATGTGATTCTTACTTTCTCCAAGTGCGTCGAGCCTCGAATTTCGAAACTCTCATGACGGTAACCATATTATTAAGAACCTACGATAATCGATAATTATCTTTCATTACTCGGCGGTTTCTCCGTTCGACGAGATCGAGAACTGACCTTTGCATTTGTTCGCATTTCGCTCATTGTGCCTGAAAATGGCGAGCATCGGTCTCGATAACATAACAATGGATTGAGACCGGTATTCTTGAAGCGATGAGGCAGATCAATTATCTAAAATCGCGATCTCGAGGTTGAAAAATAGTATAACCTCGGATCGTGGGTCGCCGGCGGAGAATGCACTTGGCGCGCGCGCGCGCATTTCGGAACACGCTGCCGCGGAGCCCCGGCTCTCGTCTCGGTAAATGCGCGGCGAGCAGCATTAAGCGCGTCACGGCTGTTAGTAAAAGAGGGCCGGACTCCAGCATTTTTTACAGACGCCAGAAGAGAGCGAGTTACGAGTCAAGGCCGACTGCACAGGTTGCTCGGTCATGAGAATAGAAATATGAGCGGGCTGCTATGGGTAAGCAGGCATGGCCGTTCGTAATAGTCGCACACCTGAGTAAGCACGCCCCGCGCGCGCGCGCGCTCGTCCCGATCTCGCAATAATAGGCTTCGAGCTAGTCGCAATCGTTTCTCACAAATCAGCACGATCCACCGGCATGACCGGCCGGCATGGGCTAATTGCAACAGTAACTTGGCAGCGACGTATGGGTTCGTCCGGGAATAATGATAGAACCATGGCGGCTTCGGATCAGCGCTTAACGGGGAGAACACGGACCGGATTCCGTACGTAGGAAACGAATGCGCGGAATTATCCGACGTTTTTGCGCGAAACATTCCGGAAAGCGCGTACATCGTTCCCAGTTACCGGATATGGCCTGTCCTGGGCTTTAGCGAATCGTCTCTTTTTTTCTTTTTATGGATTTGTTTTTTTTTTCAATATTTTTTTATTCGAAGTGGATTCGTCTTTTTCAAGAGAGACGTAACACTGGTGCGAGCGTTTGAAGGGCTCGAAAGGGGATAATGAAAAATCGATTTCAGAATGGAATTCGAGGAACTCGTAGAGGTGTAAATAACATTCGCTAGATTTTAGGCTGTCCCTGTTATACCTGGAAATTCCGGAGACGAGAGGAGACTTGATTTTCTCTCGAGCTTCTCTATGCCACGTCTCGCTCAACTTATTCCCTCCTCATTAACATCCAACTGAAACTCGCGTGTACTTCCAACGCCCGCAAATCTCGTCTCTGCGAGAGTCACGTTGAAATTTCGTAACATCCGGCAAAACCTCCTCTTTCTCTCTCTCTCTCTCTTTCTTCCTCTCGACTCGCTCAGCTCTCGACTTCGCCAGCGAAAGCGTGGAATCGTCGTCGATCGGGTGGCACGAAGCAAAGCGGTTCGACGAATCGAGAGACCTGCGCAAGACTGCTGAAGGACGGACAGAGAGGAGAAACAAGCTGGGCAAGAAGACGACGAAGACGACGACGACGATGGTGAAGAAGAAGAAGGCTAGAAGGTAGATGAGGAGGAGAAAGAGGAGGAGGAGGAGCAGGCAGATTCTCGATGGTGAAGAGCCGGTCGTCCCGTGGGAGGTCCGCTGTAGCCGATGAGCCTCGGCTGTGCAAAGTGCCCCGAAGGGCCGCTCGCGCGGCCCTTCAGAGGGACCGACAGACGGCTCACCGGTTGCGAGCCTCCTTCGCCGGGGCTCAAACCAAGATATCAAGAAAGCGCGTAATTCATGGTTGCCTCTCTCGAGCGCGAGTAAACCGGGCTTGGATTATCCGTGAGCGCCGTCGAGCGCCTAGGTCGGATTAGTCCCGGAGCGGATGACTTCCTGGACCTTCCGTGTGCGAAACGCGCCCCCGCGCGCGGAATTCGTATCAGCCGGCGTCGCGTTATTCTCGTTTGTTTTGAAAATAAAACAGCGGGAGCCGGGGTCTGGATGGAATCAGCCTTTCTCGCGAACTCGAGAATAGTCCGCGAATAGTCTCGCGACAACGAAGCAACGTAGAAACGAGAGCGTTAGGCTATCTGGTGAGTAATTGGTGGTAATTTGGGATCGTATCTTTCCGCGTTGATTGTCAGGTCGGATTAGCTATTTGCAGAAGATTCGAGGATAGAGGCCGCGTGTGCGATTTATGTTCCGGTAAATTCGGAGCAGCGAGTTCCGCAATAATACGTCTTACCTCTCTCCGTCAGAGACGATCGTCGATCTTGCTGATAAGCTCGGATTATATCTCCG